TCTCTCTCTCTCTCTCTCAAAATAAAAAAAATAAACATAAAAAAAAGATACACGTTGGTCCCATGTAAGTGCTAAAACTATAAAACTCTGAGAAGAAAACACAGCGGCACATCTTTGTGACTTGGGCTGGGCAAAGCCTTCTTAGATGTGACACCACAAGCACAAGTGACAGAAGCAAAAATGGACACAGTGGACTTGAGCAAAGTCAAAAGTGTCTGTGTTTCTGAAGACACTATTGAGAAAACGGAAACCCACAGGATGGGAGAAGATATTTGCCAGTTTTATATCTGATAAGGGATTTACCTAGAATACGTAAACGATCCTTACAACTCAACCATAAAAAATCAAATAGCCCAATTAAAAAAAAAAAAGGGGGCAAAGGTATGTAAACACATTTCTCCAAAGATATGCAAATGGCCAACAAGCACATGAGCAGAGGCTCAACGTCACCAGCCGTCAGGGACACGCAAAGCAAAACCATAACGAGTGACCACACGCACTGGGAAGGCGATAATCAACACCGATAGTAACAAGTGGTGACAAAGGGCTGGAGACACTGGGACCCTCCCACACGGCTGGTGGCAATGCAAGATGGTGGCTGCTGCGGAAGGACAGCCTGATGGGTCCTCAGAAGGGTAACACGGAAATACCGTATGACGCAGCCGTCCCACCCCCGGGCGTGTACCCCAGCAAAATGAAAACACATGTCTACACAAACGCGCACGATGTTCACCGCAGCATTACTCATAACAGCCAAAGAGTGGAAACGACTCAAATGTTTGTCAGCTGATAAATGAATCAATAAAATGTGCCGTGTCACACAATGGCACATGAGTCGGTAACAAAAGGGAAATGACGTTCTGATAATACGCCGTGACGTGGAGAAGCCTCGGGAACAGTACGGTAAATGAAAGAGGCTAATCACAAAAGACAACACGTTGTAAGATTCCCCTTATACTGAATGTCCTGAATAGGCAAAGGCAGAAAGTAGATTTATGGTTGTCAGGGTGGAGGGGGAGAAGTGGAGACTGGGGGACACTGCGAATGGGTACAGCGTTTTCTTTTAGGGGTGATGAAATGCTCCCAGAGTGACGGTGGGGATTGGTACGCCTCTCTATGAACAGACTAAAAGCCACTGAACTGCACACTTTATGTTATTTACGTATTTTTTAAGGAGGCTTCATACCCGGCACGGAGCCCAGTGTGGGGCTTGAACTCACGACCCTGAGGTTAAGACCTGAGCTGAGATCAAGAGTTGGACGCTGAACCAACTGAGTCACCCAGGCGCCCCTGAATTGTACAGTTCAAATGGGTGGGTTGAGGGGCGCCTGGGTGGCTCAGTCGGCGGAGTCGGTTCCGCTCGGGTCACGATCTCATGGTTCAGGGGTTTGAGCCCCGCATCGGGCTCTGCGGTGACGGCTCGGAGCCTGGAGCCTGCTTCCGATTCTGTGTCTCCTTCTCTCTCTGCCCCTCCCCTGCTCACACTCCGTCTCTCTCTCTCTCTCAAAAATAAATAACCATTAAAAAAAAATTTAACAAATGGGTGAATTATATGATGAATTACATCTCCCTAAAGCTGTTACATCTATTTTTAAGAATGGGACCTCACATTCATTAGGATGGCCACAATTAGAGGGGAAAAAACACACATTAACAGGTGTTGGCGAGGACGTGGAGAAACTGAAACCTCGTGCGTGGCTTATGGGAATGTACAATGGGGTACTCGCTACGAAAAAGTACTCACGACAGGAATTTCCGTACGATCCAGCGATGTGGGTATATATCCCAAAGAACGGAAAGCATGGATTCAAACAGATATCTGCACACCGAACTCACAGCGGCACGATTCACAATAGCCAGAAGGTAAAAAGAAAACCCGCGTGTCCACCAGTGGGTGACGGATAAACAAAGTGTGGTCGGTCCACACCAACATTATGCCGCCTTGAAAAGGAAGGAAATCCTCACACACGTTAATTACAACTTGGACGGACCCTGAGGACATCACACTGAGTGAAATACGCCAGTCACCCAAAGACAAATACTATGATTCCACCAGATACGAGCCGTCAAGTTCATAGACACGGGAAGGAGGGAGGTGGGGGCCAGAAGCTGGGGTCGGGGGAGGCGTGGCGAGGGGTCAGCGTACAACGGGGACAGACTTTCAGTTCAGCAGAAACTGACACACAGCGGTGACGGTCGCACAACAACACAGATATACTTGTCGTGTGTATTCAGCACAATAAAAGAAAGGGTGGGGAACGTATCTCCATACACAAGCTCTTTGAAAAGGCAGTTTGGTGGGACGGATGGGATGCGGAGCCATGAAAATATCCCTTGCCTCTGGGAAAATCATCCCGCTTTGGGGAATTCAAACAAGAAAAGGAGCCTCAACGCATGAAAACGTTCATCCAGGCGTTTCTTAGAACGGGAGACAAACGGGAACCGTCAGGGCCCAATAAACGACGCGATGTCATTTCGCAGGGTGACCGAAGCCATAGAAACAGCTGACAGTGAGCTTGTAATACACGGGGAAAAGTTTAAGCCAAAATGTTGACTAGTAAGACACGGAATCATATGCTCAGAATCCTCAGATTGCATTTTAAAATCCTCCAAAGAACAGGCAGGAGAGAGAGACGTCAGACGAGTAAGTGTGGCCGTCCTCAGGCCAGAGGGCTGTGAGTGACTGTTCTCCTTTTTAACTGTTCTACATTTGCCTGATTTTCTCTTGCAAAGCTTGCTCTAGGGGCGCCTGGGTGGCTCCTTCTGTTAAACGTCCGACTTCGGCTCAGGTCGCGATCTCACAGTTCGTGAGTTCGAGTCCCACGTCGGGCTCCGTGCTGACAGCTCGGAGCCTG